CATGTCTTCGGACAGATGTAGACACACCTGGAGACATTATGACACGTATGTATCTGGACAGATGTAAGTTGTACACCTGTAGACGGAGGAGACATGATGACACGTATGTAGCTGGACACATGTAAGTTGTACACCTGTAGAAGGAGACATGGAGTACATTAGACACCTGTAGTATGTATGACACACGTATGTGTATGTAGCTGGACAGATAGTAGGACATGTATGTACACCTGTAGACGTTGTACACCTGTAGACGGAACATTATGACACGTGTATGTATCTGGACAGATGTAAGTTGTACACCTGTAGAACATGATGACATATGTATGGACACATGTATTGTATGCTGTAGACACCTGACATTATGACACGTGTGTGTAGCAGGACAGATGTAAGTTGTACACCTGTAGACGGAGACATGATGACACGTGTGTGTATGTAGCTGGACAGAGATGTAAGTTGTACACACATGTAAGTTGTACACGTGAACATGATGACACGTATGTAGCTGGACAGATGTAAGTTGTACACCTGTAGAAGGAGACAATATGACACGTGTATGTAGCTGGACAGATGTACGTTGTACACCTGTAGACGGAGACATTATGACACGTGTATGTATCTGGACAGATGTAAGTTGTACACCTGTAGACGGAGACATGATGACACGTATGTAGCTGGACACATGTAAGTTGTACACCTGTAGACGGAGAATTATGACACGTGTATGTAGCTGGACAGATGTAAGTTGTACACCTGTAGACGGAGACATGATGACACGTATGTAGCTGGACACATGTAAGTTGTACACCTGTAGACGGAGACATTATAACACGTGTGTGTAGTAGGACAGATGTAAGTTGTACACCTGTAGACGGAGACATGATGACACGTGTATGTAGCAGGACAGATGTAAGTTGTACACCTGTAGACGGAGACATTCTGACACGTGTATATAGTAGGACAGATGTACTTTGTGTCAGCTGTGAGGAGCTGGCTATCCTTGGTAATGATATAATAGCAACAGTAGAATCTAGCTAGTTAGAGCTATGACCCAATTGTGTGGAAACTCCTCCTTTGGGGCGAACCCGTTAAAATCTGGGTTAGAATCGGTCTTCACAATTTGGTAAGAGGTGAATTACGGGATCGGGTGGACAGGATCGCTGACTTGGTTGACCACACCCACCGACACTTTTGGGCGACCATTGTCAAACAAATACTTGAAAAAATAATGTCTCTATTTGTCCCTATTCAATGGAAACATTATGAACGTGTATGTAACAGAGACATGATGACACGTATGTAGCAGGACAGATGTACGTTGTGCACCTGATCGAAGGCAATATAACACGTGTATATAGTAGGACAGATGTACGTTGTACACCTGTAGACGGAGAAATTATGACACGTGTATGTATCTGGACAGATGTAAGTTGTACACCTGTACACCTGTAGAGAAATTATGACACGTGTATGTATCTGGACAGATGTAAGTTGTACACCTGTAGACGGAGATATGATGACACGTATGTAGCTGGACACATGTAAGTTGTATAAATACCTATAAACAGTGACATTATTACACGTATGTAGCTGGACAGATGTAAGTTGTACACCTGTAGACGGAGACATGATGACACGTATGTAGCTGGACACATGTAAGTTGTATAAATATCTATAAACAGTGACATTATGACACGTATGTAGCTGGACAGATGTAAGTTGTACACCTGTAGATGGAGACATGATGAAACGTATGTAGCTGGACACATGTAAGTTGTATAAAGACCTATAAACAGTGACATTATGACACGTATGTAGCTGGACAGATGTAAGTTGTACACCTGTAGACGGAGACATTATGACACGTATGTAGCTGGACACATGTAAGCTGTACATCTTTAGATGGAGACATAACATGTGTGTGTAGTAGGACACATGTAAGCTGTACACCTGTAGACGGAGACATGATGACACGTGTATGTAGCAGGACAGATGTACGTTGTACACCTGTAGACGGAGACATTCTGACACGTGTATATAGTAGGACAGATGTACTTTGTGTCAGCTGTGAGGAGCTGGCTATCCTTGGTAATGATATAATATCAACAGTAGAATCTAGCTAGTTAGAGCTATGACCCAATTGTGTGGAAACTCCTCCTTTGGGGCGAACCCGTTAAAATCTGGGTTAGAATCGGTCTTCACAATTTGGTAAGAGGTGAATTACGGGATCGGGTGGACAGGATCGCTGACTTGGTTGACCACACCCACCGACACTTTTGGGCGACCATTGTCAAACAAATACTTGAAAAAATAATGTCTCTATTTGTCCCTATTCAATGAAAGATTATGAACAGATTATCCGTAATATTCAAAGTTTCAAACAGATAATTAATTGTACTTCTAGTTGGGAAAATACGAACGAAACTACAAACCTTCAGAGAAACCTTACTAACGGCAATAGCATAATGTAACCACTTTGTGACGTCATGGCGTACTTTCTTTCAACAATGAAGCACTATGACGTCATATTGATTCAATTGACAAATCAACATAGATAGTTGCATAAATGCAAATGTGCAAATAATGGGCGACATATCGGTACTTATTACCCACGTGGTCAACGGAGTAGTACTGTAGGAGGCTGTACGAGGCGATGACAACTGACATGCATCGTGACGTCGGTTACCAAGGTAGTGACGTCATTACAGTGTGACGTCATGCAAATAGTGTACTGCAGTACAAAACTCTTCCACAACCTCTTTATGAAACCGGTTTCGGTTTGAAACCAAAATATTAACAAAATATTATCAATTTAATGCGTGTAAGACGTGGGTCATAAATAAAATACCACACTCGGTCTCATTACATACGAATTATACGAAACTCGTGACCTTCCTATGTTATCTGACCTCGCTTTCGCTCGATCAGATACCATAGTAAGGACACTCGTTTCGTATAATTTGTATGTAATGAGACCTCGTGTAGTATTCTCTATATATGTCTCATTTGCAAGACAAAAGCTTTGTTACAGATAAATGAGATTTCGTTGAAGTTTATTTTACTGACAGTGGAACATACTTTGATATTTTGCATCCAGACAGATTAATACCAACATCGTTCACACATTACTTTACTGTAAACATTTCTGAAGTAATTGAACAACAGCTCTATTAAGAACATAACCTTACGTAAACACAAATGCTCACTTGATACTTCAAAATATGCTGTAGAAAAAACAAACAAGGTATGGCGATAAGAAACCAGGCTGTGCCCACAATCGGTATGTGCGGGGGCGACCACATAACGACTGGTTTATTCCCTTTGAATACTAGGAGGAGGGGATGGAAGGGCGGCTACGAAGTTACAGGTCTTGAAAATAATATATTGCCATCGGTATTCAGGTCTTAGTGCATGACAAGGCAAAACTTTTTTTCATTCATTGCTTCAGTGTAAATATAACAGTTTTACAAAGGTGCGTGATGAATGAAAACTGATGACCGGGAAAGTAAGATGTTGTTGTATATATCATCGTCTGGTTAACTTGATAAAAATTAATTCACCCATCGAAATATCAAAGAAATGCGATAGCGTACACCCTACCTATACTGACTGACTGACTGACTGACTGAGTTTGGTTTTACGCCGCTTTTAGCAATATTCCAGCTACATCACGGCGGGGGAACACCAGAAATGGGCTTCACACATTGTACCCATGTGGGGATTCGAACCCGGGTCTTCGGCGTGACGAGCCAACGCTTTAACCACTAGGCTACCCCACCGCCCCCCTACCTATACAGGGCATGACGAGGGTGCGCTTCCTAGATCGAAAGTCACTCACAATCAGGAACAGTTCAAAAGTCGGTGGATGCAGAATAATTGTGTCTTTTGGAAGGTACATGAAACAAAACATATTCATTATTTATGAAGGTCTTTGTGCAAAAAAATAAACCTTTGCCGACTTCTGAATTCAATCACCTTTCCATGCTTAAGCGAAGAACATATTTTTCAAAGGGGCACTTACCACAAAGATAGCTGTCGCTCTAACAGTCAATATATACGGATATAGTATATGGAAATCACGAAGTCCCCATCCATGCTTAATATCTATACATGTTGATGTTTTCCAAACTGTATTCATCATACCAAACATTTTCGGATCATATAGCAAATGTAATTTTTCCTATTTCACGTGCTTCTTACTCCTTATTCAAGACAACAACAACAACAAAAACTAAATAAATAAATAAATAAATAAATAAATAAATAAATAAATAAATAAATAAATAAATAAATAAATAAATAAATAAATAAACTTTGTTGGTTTTAGAAAAGCCTATGGATTCTATTTTGTCCTAGGTTGCTGTTCAAAAAGCTTTGAAACATGCACCCAAATGCCGCCGAGTTATTAAAACAATTTAAACAGTGCCAAATCAAAATATACCTCGAAGCGCCGCTAAAATGCTTTTAGCTGTGCATACGCGATACTGTTCCTCGTAGTGGATTACATAAAATCTTCAGATTGAAGCGTGTCAGAGCCAGCAGTTTCTTATTGATCATTTCTACACCAATCAGAAGCGCGGAGCCAGTCAGCTGACTCTCGCGCTTTTTTTAGTAGCGACGTATATGGCAATGTCATAGACTGTCTGCATTCCAGACATAGTAAATCACTACGAAGAATATTTCGTAAACCCTTTCGGATTTTACACTCTACAATGTTAGTTTTGGGGTAACAGTTAAATGCAAAGTCTGAAATGTAAGTAGTTTATATAGATACACAATTTCCTGTAAAATGTACTGAAGCATAATACACCATTTAGATGCAACTTTAAGAAATATGCTCCGGCAATTTCAAATTCTCCCTAGTAGCCGGTTGGCAGGCTGCCAGCAGCTGTTGATTTGTTTATTTTTACTTTCCCGCGCCTTGCCAACGGCCGTCTCACGGAGCTGCATACGCTAGAGAATATAGTCCGCTCATGTTTTAATTCTAAACAATTCGGTAGATGCTTTGCTGCCCAATCACCACTGCTAAGAAGCTTTAGCAGATATATGCACATCATAAGATGTTATTTTCCACCGTTTAAATATTTCAACTTTTGCCAGACGGACCCCCCCAGTGGACCATATCTGTTTGGTGTGAATCGGCCAGCCCAGCTGTTTCCCGCCAATTATTACTCATTCTGCTAGCGTATCGCAGGGTTCTACTGTCTTACAACCGTAAATATTCTCGTATTTTGAGGATATTTCTGAGTGATTCTTGTTTCTTGTGGCAAAGATGGCACTTTATTCACGGAGTAACGATAGGAGAAGGATTATGGAGGAAATTCGACTGCGGGAGATGGATATTGCAGCCGCAATCGGAAAGTAAGTTGTAGTATTTGCCTTACACATGGTTTACGTTATAAACATTGGCGTACGCACGCATGCCGCGATCTTGTTTTGAAGTTCTTCGTCTTCCTAAGCTAGTTTATGATGTACAAAGCATATGATAGCATTCTAAGTAACTGGTTTCGTCATAATTCTCAACATTTGCCGTCGTGTTAAGTCTGATTTTGCCAGAATGGCGAGGTAAAGAGAGCAGTAGGCGACAACCACATGATGGCCATTACAAACAAAGGCCCATTCACCAAGCCGCACGGCGCGCTTTACTCGGTAGCGTGGTCGACAATGTTTTTAACTTGCCATGTTTTGCGTTATATTCCTTTTATTTGACCAAACCTTGGAACTACAAATACGTAGTTGTATGTATTTTTGCTGTTGTTGTTTTGCAAGATGGCACGTAGTGTGGTGTGATCAGCTGATTAGCCTGATGTTTGGCTCTGTTGACATGTGGCTTGCGCGGCCTCTGTTCGGCGGCCATGTGTAAGCGTCGATCAGCTGAGCGAAACATTTGCACTCGTTATTGTGAAAAAAGCAACTACTAAATGTGGGCCCTCATTTTCGATTCCGGTTTTCTTTTTTTTTCGAAATGATATTTGTTAAAATATCGGTACGCGTTTTAGTTCTTGGTTTATCATTTATTTTAGTTAGTAAATTTGACTGCCATGTGATGAGTAAGCAAGGCGTGCTGCGTCACATCAGCTGATTTCAGAAAATGGGTGATCTCAAATGAAACACGGATTTCTTTTCAATTCTAATTTTATTTCGTCAGACATAATTTGTTTGTGTTTTCGATCTTAAATTTTGTATGTTATTTTTTCCCTCACATTTATTTTTTCTTCGAAGATCTTGGCCAAAATTGTACCTTATTCCGTGTGGTAATTGATGAGTTTGATTTACAGTTTTACACCTTTTTGTGTTATGAATGCTTGAAATCGGACACCTTTCTTCAGCACAAAATAATATTCATAAAAAAAATGTCTGTGCACATTGTTTGCTTTTTTGTAAGAAAAGAGATCGTTTTCTATAATATGTTTAATTTGAACTTACATCGATTTATATCTAAAGTTCATAAATTTTGTTCAACGAACAATATCCCGAAAACGTGGTCGTCATTAGCTAGCAATATTAATAAGGCGGGTCTGTAGTCACGAGGTTTCTTTGGCTCTCGGCCAAATATTGTAGTCGGGACATAGTTTATACGTGTATTGCGCAAATCTCTACTTTCGTTCATCGGGCGATAGTGTTATACTTCCTCAAAGTTAAAATAACCAATGACACAAGAAATGTATGCGGTACATGTCTGAAAATCACCATAACATTGAAGGAAATTTCGTCCGGGCAAAACCATGAAGACCATGCCTTCTCTTGGCGTGGTGCCAGAATTTGTTAGCGACTTGTTGGCAGGCTGCCAAGCGACATTTCGTGTCTGGCTAGACCAGGAGATCAATAATACAACATCGATCGATGTGGTCGCTCTCAAATGGGATTATTCCATTCATTTACAGCGAGAGTAAATGTGGCATGTTTTTATTAAAAATAAACCCAGTTATATTTGAAATATAAACACCCTATCTTGAATTTCAGCATAAACTGGCCGATTACCTTTAGACAAATATTCATGAAATAGAAATGTACTTCGCGATTAGTCAAATTTTACCCGTCTTATACCGAAATATATATAACAAAATACAACATATCAAGGTAGACAGAATCTCAACGGTTTGGCTAAAAATAATCAACCATGTTATACAATCTGCAAGTCAGTCGTAGTCGTTATACCTAGATCTACTTTTAACATTCACGTTTAATTTATTAAATTGCAGTGTGGGTTTTGAAAAAAAAAAGCAGCATGTGTACACACTATTTCATTCCTTTTCAGAGCGCATTCACCAAGAGATTACGTTTTGTTGATATAAACATTTGTTTTCTAGGCAAAGGGAATGTTCCCCAAAGGGACACTTAGAAAATGAGAAGAGAGTCCGCCGAGAAATAGCAAACAGCAATGAACGTCGCCGAATGCAGAGCATCAATGCCGGATTTGAGTCCCTGAAAACACTCATTCCCCATCACAATGGTGAAAAACTCAGCAAGGTGAATATAGCTGTCTCTTTTCACGCGAAAACGTTCATTCTTATTTACCTTTTCATTTGCATAAATATTCATGGCACCATTAGATTTTTAGGGGAAAAACGTTGAAAAAAATTGATCTCTTGTTGAGATTTGACAACAACAAACCTGACGTTTCTATCAACCCAGTAAGCACATTGCCCGGTTTTATTGTAAACAATCGAAGCCAGTGTTATTGTTTGACTTTAGAAATTGTCAAGGTGCCTTGTTAGTGGGTTAGCCTGTAAGGATTCCAGCAAAGCGACCGAGGACGCCCTTGCCATGTAAGGCAGACAGCAGCCAATGAACATGTGAAACACAACCCACTCCCTCGCACGCTACACTAGCTAGCGCCAGCCGCAGACAAGCGGAGTGAGTGGGTACATGCACATGGCATATAGGTCATTGCCACCAAGAGTTCACTCCCCTTGCTCTGTCTGGGATTCTCTGAAAGGTCTATCGGAGTTATTTCTTTAATTCATTTAAGCCAGAACTAATATTTCTTATATTGTTTGAATATTATTTTATGTTTCTTAGTTTTATTGTTGAAAAAACAATTTTAAAAATATTACATACAGTAAATGTTTCCATTTCACAGGTTACAATTTAGTCATTTTGAAATATGTATTTTCATTTTGGGCTGTTCATTACAAAAAAAATGTTTAAATACCTTTTGTTGTTATCAGTTGTGAATATTTAGTAGCAGTGATTACAATGTATAATGCATTGTTTAGTTTGCTTTAGTTAAACAAATCTTATTGGGTTCATACTGATGATTTGAATGGGACATTTTCTCACATTAATATTTTCTTATAAAATGTGACCAGGAAGTTAGAGTTAGGAGCTAATTTCTATTCCCATTGACCAGGACCCAATAAGGTTTTACTCAGAATGCTCAGAAAATAGTATTTACCATTCTATTTAATACTATGAATGGATTGAAAGATGTGACATACATTCTTACAATATACTAAAAGGATTCATTCTTTGCCTCAGTACTATCCCATTAAGCAGAGCGCTTTCATACTCCTTGGCTGTATTGAATGGCCCACTGACATTTTAACTGGGATAAGGATCTTGTATTGAGATATGTTGAAGGGCTGTGAATGGCCGGGACAGAACACAAACCCTAGATATCACCACTCCCACATTCCATGTACACAGCAGCTCCTTGCACTGCCATTTGAATCTTGCAACTTCCTGTGTTACCAAGGTCACGGGATGGGGTCCCCTCGTGACTTTGAATTTTACACTGTCATCATGTAACACAGTTATGTTATCATTAGGACTTAGATAGATATCTCTAATAACTCGGTCACACAATCGTCCTGAACTGTATTGAACTTCACATTTTATTGAAACATTAACTTTTATGGTATTTTTTAGGTTTTATGTTGTGATGTTATAGTGTGTTGTTGAATAGTTCATGATTGCACTCAAAGAGAAACCTTCCGTACAGATTGAAACATGGATATTGATATTCTCGAATTAGTAGAGGTTAGGATTTACGGGAATTTGAAAAATGTTTAATGCTGTTATTTGGTGTAGCTATCAGATGAATCAGAAATGATATAATCAGGTCTACATTCCTGACGACCTCCTATCAGAGTTATTTCCAATTTCACTCCACTGTGGAACTCGTAACAACATCATGAATTATCTCAATGAATAAGGCTGTAAGTATGCAGTAATTGTGACAAGGTCAACTCAATATCATACGTAAATATCACCATGTGACCTCTGGCAATATAAGCATGTGTTACAGCTGGATCAGGTGGTCAGTGAAAGTAGTCCGGCTGATTGGATATAGTCTGATAGGCCCAGGTGCTATTTTGGTTGACTGAGTCATCTGACTACTTGCCAAAGTCTGACGGCCACTGTGAGAACTGATAGCTTTATCACTGCCTAGGAATGTAAACATATCAGAGTGTTTGAGTTTTGCTGTCCAGATTGTACCAGGCTTGTTGAAAACATTCCTGTGTAATTGAACAGTACTAATCATGCAAATAATTTTGTGAGAATTTATGGATATACCTGAAATCTTAATTCAAGTTAATTAATCTCTATAATTGTCATTGATGTTTGAATCAGAAACTTTATGTATTGTCAAAACAGAAAGATGATAGTTCCAACATGGATATGTCTTTTGATAACAATTTATTTTTGTGTAGGCATAAGAACCAATTTAGTTTGCTTGCCAGATGATAATTAAATCGACTCAGATTTTGGACTCCTGGCTAATATGTCTGACTGCCCGATATGATTAATTTTCTCAGCTAACTTATATAACAAGGGTAAAATGTGTGAGGTGTTCTTTATCTATCAATCTGGAGCTTTGAAAAAATTGTGAAAGTTCCTGAAAGCAATTATTTGGGTCAGTAGTAGCAATCCGTTGACAGGAATGTGTCTGTATTCTCCCAGCACACAGGCTCTATTTGGCAACAGTCTCTAGAACATCCTCCACTGCTGCCTGTACGCCACACAATCACATCTTGCGCAACATGTAACTCCTCGATCAGGCTAGATTTGATTCAGCCCTGGTGATAAAAGTATGTGTGAACTAACTCCTTGTTTGCTCAGGGTCTTGTGACCCAAGGAGTGGCCTGCAGTGATAAGAGCTTGCTAGCCAGACATGTGTGGACAAAGCTTGAGTTTGGACTGCTAGGGTGAAATAGTATTTGAATAGGTCAGATTGTGTTGTAAATTGTACAACCAGATCTGTGTCAATATTTTATCATCAATCAGCCACATTCTCATTATGGCATTTCATTTATTATAGATTTGGTATTATATTACTAAAATAATATAATGATTTTCCAATTTTTAGCTGTATTTTGTTTTGTTCTTAATGTGTGATGCCCCATGATATTGTAGCACAGTCAGGTCAGTTTGTTTCTACAGACTGCTACATGACTGTCTATTCATCTCAGTAATAGAAGCAGGCAGTTTAGAAATGTCATAAAAATAAACACATCTCCAACTGTGATAAACGTAGTTTAACTTTACCTGAGCAAAAACAATAGCTACAATTTATCTTCTGAATCCGTTTCAGTAGCTTTACATCTTACATTTCACATACTTGGCAGTAGACCTACTATGTAAATATATCTTCAAGGTTTATACAGATTTGAAAGGCCTTGAATTGTAAAGGTTCTTCTTGAAAGAGTTTTGTTTTAGCATCAACCTAGTACCTTGAAAGCCTTAGAAATCACTAAAATGGCTTGAAAAGCCTTGAATGAGTACAACATTATATACGTATTACCTTTCATGACCGACATAATGTATTTTATTTGTTAGTTGTGATAATTTTGTTTGAAAATGTGGTGTGTTCATACTGCTATTTAAGTCTTGTGATTAATACATGTATGCTGGATTAATTTCTGAATTAAAAGACAATATTCAAAGACCAAGGCTGATTACCAAACTGATTTTTTTTAATTGAAAATGACATGTAAAATTCCTGAAATTTAGTGTTTCATGTTTGTATGAACATTGATCTGATTTGACTTTAGTTTCAAGTCAGTGGTCTGAATGAATTCTTACACAGATCTAAACCATTCTTTTTTATATTTGCAACATTTGAGACCACTAATCCATAGAGCTTAACACAGTGAATCCTTTACATAACGTTTAAACATTAATTTACAGGTATACCAATATAAGTCATTTATACGCTATTGTTGAAATCACCACAAGTTTCAAAAATTGTCTATACAGTGTCTTAAAATGCCTTCAGGCACACAGATAGATCAGTTTGTCGAACCAATCATAATGTCATTCATTGTGAATAGTCGACATGCCATCGACTTTTATATGATAATGAAGCCAGAGTGTGGGAACAGTCTGAGCTAGCAGGCCCATTCATGCACAGCCTGTGGTGTTGAAAGCTACTTGTGAACTAAACAACCTCACCCTGTACGCTTCACTGCATCCACGACTTGTTCCCCTATCCTGCTGCTGGTATTTAGGTCAGATGCATACTTGACAGTTATTTATAGTAGCTGGTTTAACTTGGTTGTGTTTTCTTCAGGCTGCCATCCTTCAACAAACTTCAGAGCATATCAGCAGTCTGGAGACTGAGAAGACCAAACTCCTGGCCCAGAATGCTCATCTGAAGAAAATCCTCCTTGAAGTTTCCAATGAGAGGGATGAGTACTTCAATGAATCTCCACCTCCTAAAAGAAAGAAAAGAGACACAGGTATTAACAGTTGTCAATAAAATAAAAGTGCAACCTTCTCAACTCACACCCCCGCCCTTTTAAAAATACCCAATCCATTCGGCATCGGACATACGATGAGTATTTATGAAGAGAAGATTTTAACATACACAGTTATGTTAAGGAATACTATTTGATTTGACATAATTTATTTCAAATTATCTACTTCAGACTATCTGGTCATTGACCCCAATACAAAACAAATATGTGCAATATTGGACCTCCTGACCTTTATCTTTTAACCCTGGCTTGTCAAGTAATGAAATCATTCTGAAACTTTAGATGCAATACATTGTATACGTACATGTGAGACATGTGAAAGAAAACTTCAGACACCTTTAGAACGTTAGCTTGTTCAAGACTATTATTAAGACTGAGGAAGGTGATATTTCCTTGTGGACAATCTTTCACTGATGACAGCAGATCATTTTTGTGAACAAGTAAAAAGAAATTCATTTCCAGATTATTACTGTCAAAACTTCAAACTTGACAGATAAATTTCTTTGACAGATAAATTTGATTGAGTGCATTATATTTCCCTAGTGATGGAGTTCTTGCATTATTTGTGTATGCAGTGAACATTGACACCATCCTCCCGGTCTGTGTTGCTACTTGAATGCTGTAATACTACCCTTGACAAGAATCGGTTTACATATGTGAATGAGGTTATGTAAGTTATACATATGAAACCCTCATGGATGTGTGCTGTCTTTCAGAATCGTCAGATGAAGGAATAAGTTTAGGGAGTTCCATAGACAGTAGCAGTGAAGAATCAAATGAAGACCTGCAAAGGGAGATAATTGAATTGCGCCGTCAGTTGGACCGAGAACGGTGGCTACGTATGATGTATGAAGAGCGACTTCGATCAGTGGAGAGCCAGATCTACCCAGACCGCATCCGTCACATTGCAGCCCATGTGCAAGCTTCAATTCACATACAGAACGAAAAGGCTTTGGTAAGCATCTACTCAGTATTATCAGCGATACATTCATTGACATCTCTCTCCTTGTCCCAAAAATAGTAGATTTATTTGCTGGACATGAAGCATGTTAATTAATTAATGTCTGTAATAAAACAGATATCCTGTACAACCAGTGGGTACAATAATTACTGTATTTCAATAAAACTTTCTTATTAATCTTGTTTTACTGAATCTGAAAATATGTGATATGTGAGGCAAGGTTTTAATGAATTTGTAGTATTTATAAATTCTGTATATTTATTTGATATTTTCTTCCTTTCCCCAGAAGCAAGCCAATGTGACAGAAGTGTCCGAGGATAATGAAAAAGTTACCATCAAGGAGGAAGATCCCAAAGCTGCCTTGGAATCATCAATGTCACGGAAAAACTTAGAGACAATTGTGGAAGCTATTCGTCATTTGGAAGGTGACAGGATTCTTTTCGATGAGCGGAAAGCAGACGAGAAACAGCCAATTCCAAATGGTGAAGAAAGTGACGAGAAGGAAAGTTGTATGAGTGACCAAGAGGATACCAAATCAGACAGTTCAGGTCGGGATTCCCCACTGAGATATACACAACATCAGCTACCGAGTGCGGTTCGGTCAAATTTCAGTGATAAGTACCCCATCGCGACAGACTTGCTACATCGGCCGCTGCAGGCTCAGTACTACCGACCAGGTGTGATTGTACACAAGTCATGAGGATGGCTAAGGGCTGTTTAAGACTCTGTACATACACAGCATTGCATCATCATCATCATCATCATCATCATCATTTTCCTGTACATTATTCGCTTCATTATGACAAAAGTGCTATTTCATTGTTCACTATGAGTCATTTTGTCCCCATGGATCACGATCAGTGGATCATATGTCATGCATTTCATTGCGCATTCTTTGCGACCATTTTGTCAGGCATTTTCATTGAATCACAGAGTTAATATATTTATATTTATGGAAGCTTCATTTTTGATACATTGTTTGTTTTGTATTGTTACTGTATTGCAAAACATTAGGTCATTGTCAAATCTTGCGTTTCTCTTGCATCTTTGGTCGCCATGACGACATTTCAAACATAGATTCTGTTGAACATTCCAACTGTGAGACAGCTTTGAACCAAAACGTTGACATCAATACTGGTGTAACTGTTACAGTATTGTCATAAGGAATCATTCAGTTTTCCTACAAGTAAAAGACACAATTTGCTGTGAACTGCTATATATGCATCTGAAAATTTAAAACCTGGCATTTAAAAATTTGTCAACACTCATTAAAGGTAAAGACAATATCAAAATGTTGACAAATAGTGTTCCGCAAGTTCTCATTTGAACTTGTTCCATTCTGTGTATAAATGTATATAGGAAGTTTCAATTACATGTTCCTGGGGATTGTCCTGCGATGATGTTCCACTCTAGCCAGCTGCACCATCTTCTCTGCAGTGTACGTGTATACATACAGTCTATAATATATCTGTGTGGTCATGGCTTGTCAAACAAATAAAATCTTGTTTCAGTAATCTGCAAACTGTTGAAAAATATCTTAACATAAATTGGGATATGTTTCTGCAAACCTTTTCTTTCATTTTCAATCCAAAATGCACATTCTGATATTTTAACCAATGTATTGTGATTATGTTTTCTGGTTTTGCCAAGTTTCTGTATTGGTTAGGCAGGACAGTTCCCAGGTAACAGTGTGTAAATAGTTAAGTCTGTTGTTGAGTATTGTCCTATGTGCTGTGTGTTGATCTAGCAGTAGCACAGGAGATCTTCTTGTTACATATTTTAACGTAATTACAATGCACACAACAATGCAATGGTGGTAATTGTTGCCCAGGTAACCGCATTGACCAATGACGGTTTTCCTGGTGGCACTATTGACCAATCAGATTCAATGTTTGATTTTGTTTTCTGACCGTTTCATGTATTCTGCAACCCTTTGTCTGGACAGAGCACTAAGCTTGGATTGTAGCACGGTTGGCTGTTGAAGAGTTAATTCTCACCCAATGGATACCAAAAGCATTAACAAATAGCATCGCCTCTTATCTGTATTATGCTAGTGTCGTTATGTGATTGTCGTAACTTCGTTCAAAGAAACTTATTTCAGTTCCACAACAAAACTTAGAATAAATGAGGTGTTACTAAGGATTTTTTTCAGGCCACAAAGTACCCTTCTGTTATTAAATATGCCATTATTAAAACTTTGAATAATGTTTGAGAAAATTTGTGGTAGGGGTGTTAATGTTTTTATGAATTCAGCGTCATATTCACTGGGTGATGTATTGACAGTGCCAATATTATACAAATCTGAGAATTGTAAGGTATCTCTTAGCTTGTAGTTTGTCTGAAGATGCAGGAATCTAGCGGCTTGTTATCTATGCAACAAATACTGTGTACTTTCTTAATGTTGATGTTGTCTTTGGCCAGCACAAGTTAGGATCTGTTGAATTTCACAATGTTCCACAATGTCAAACTGTTGTTACCATGTTTAAGATCATCCAATATTTAGTGTTTTCAATATTACATTAATTTACACCTTATTTGCCGAATATGAAATATTTGGCTTTTTTACATGAAGACTTTTCTAGGTTTATTTTATTTGATTGTCTTCAGTCAAGCTTTTGTGACGAATTCAAAGTTTACTTTTGTTAAGGATTGATGTTAGTTACGATACTTGTTAAGTTGATTGAATTTGCTGAGGTTTCAGGTTTTCTTGAAAAAGAAATTTTCATGGTAATACAAGGTATTATTTTTTTATGAAACTTGGTAGGCATGTTGTGTAATACATTAGGCAGAGCGGTGCCTAGCTTGCAGCTGTGATGTTTTTCTGACCGCATGATTCTTGCATCTTTAGATATGGTAGTCCTAGCCTCCTCGTGGGGATGTAGCGCGTCCGTCTGGCCAGCCTCATCGGTCAGATGCACAGACGGGCAATGTAGCATGTGAATGTATCGTCTGCTTCATGATAAAGTGGTCAATATTAAAAAGTGTGAAAGAAAATATATCTGTTTGTCTTGTATTCCGGTAAAAGTGGATTAGTTGTATATTTGATACAACCCTGGTTTAGTACCAGTGGACTGGATTAATGTCCTCATGCCTCAGTCAGTTATATGACAGTGGTCTGCAGACAGGCCTGACCAGATAATCCAGTGATCGACATCATTAGCATTGATCAACACAGAAAATTAACAATAGGATTGGTAGTTTCGTTTCGGACATGATGGTACCGTAATGTTAAATGGACAACTAGTCTCAAATAGATTGTGGATTTAACTGATGCCATCCATCCTTGTTAGGTGTTGATGCATTATATCTCATATCCCAAATTTCCATTCCGATCAGATATTGACCCTGACAAGATCCACAACAAAGAGGAGCTCAATTCAGTATGCCTTCAAACCAATGTCAGCAGACCAAATATGACTAAAGGGAGCTGATGCTGTAACTAACACAAATATGGATCTTGCCAAACATGGAAATATTGTGGGGGCATTAATATTAAACTCTCAAATATAAATATTGTATGTATCTAAAACTCACAAATCATAGAAATATTGTGATAACCATAAATATCATCCATCCATACATATCTCATATGAAATTTGCGAAAAATATAAAACACTAAACATACATATTACAAAATGTTAAAATATCACAATGAGTATATGTATTAAATGAAATTTTGTCAGCAGAAGGATGAACCATACAACACATGCAGGTATTGTGTTCATTGTGAATATGAATCTTACAAAAATATGTAAATTGTGCACAGGATAAAATGTGAAACCCATAAAACATGGAAAATATTGTGCTGAGTGAATCTCCCTAAACTTGGAGACAGTGTGATTAGCATAAGTATGAAATACCAGACGATCTAGTGATTGACAGCATGAACATCGATACTCTATCTGGATGACAGCTAATCAACCAAGTCAGTGATCTTGACCACCTCGTACATTTAGGGCCTCTTATCTCACAGGTCCTGTAAAACCTGGTTTTCCCAGCCCTCCCTCCCTGCAATGCCGCGATTATACGAAATCCAAAAATGAAGTAAGTCTTGATTTTCCTCATGTTCATGTTTCATCATGGGTTTCCTTTTCAATTTGTAAAAATGGAATTATTTGTTGCTATCACAATGATATATATTTAGAAACTAAGCAATAGTCTAGATCTCTTACGAAAAGCATGGATTGCGGGTGACCTAAATCTGTACCCTCAAAGCGATTTGTATGTTCTGTATTCTTACTCACTAAGCCTCCTGCAAAGCGAATTTATGGTCGAGGTATGACTGTCATACAAAACATACAGACGCATGAATCCTTTTGGGGAAGGAACCTCGTCAATATTGGATTAAGTGTATGGTGAATTTAAGAACCCGACTACTATAGTCACTACTAGACTGGATTTACAAATCAGCACGCAGACGCGAGGTTTTCAATGAATAAATGATGTCGACCGAGCATATCCAGAGTAATTGCTAATGAGCTTTATGCGTCTTTAACTAAAAACTGTTGGGGTTAGGTCCGCAGTAAGGTGTTAGCCAGTTGGGATTCCTGGTTAATTTTGGTTTCCGCGTCGTGGGCTCATTTGATCGGCTAATCAACCCCGGGGGCTAGACCCAAATCATGTCAGCGTGCCCGGATGGCGATGACGTTACTCATTGCATTAATCACGGGTTTGTGTGGCTCAGATATCGACATAACGCTGTCATATTGCCGGATTAAGGCGGCGCAGAAAACAACAACCCACAAAACAAACAACAACAAACAAACAAACAGTAACGTGTAGGTCTAGGGATGTCAAAATATTATTCAGGAAACAAAAATCCAGCAAATGTCTAAAGCTGCCGTTTTCAGAATTTGAACTATTCCGGAGGAAATCCAAACCATTTATAGGGAGAGTCAGTGCCGTTTCTTTTCGTTATCAGAACACACGGATACACCTTTCGGAATGTGACGTGTCGAATGATATCCGAAGTGCTGATTCGGGGAAGTTCAACTGGGAGAATAACAACATATGTTTGTGAACGGCCTGGTTGAACCAAACTTATCTCGGTGGAATTCCCCGATGGTGCACAATTAGACGGGCTTAGTATCAGCTGTCACCGACAGGTGGCGCAACGGGATATTCCTGTTGAATAAGTCTGATCGTAATAGTACAACCAGGGATTGTCAGGTACCGATTGTCTTTCCTTGGCTACGAGCTTGGACGCTAACTGCAGTTGATAGCCTGCCGGGACACATCATCTCAAGCCAATTACACCAGCAATCTGATTGGCCCAAAAAGCATGGGGTTAAAGCTAGCATGCAATTAACATATTTTACGTAAAACTGTGGTTGGGAAATTTAACATCCACATGTTATGTTATTTGCTATCGGCTTTTGGCTTGACGTAGATTTGACACGACGATAAACCATGCTTTCAAATTGGTATCTGTGTCATTTTGTCATTCAAGGAACGCAGTGTTCTACCTCCCACCCACGACAACCATAATAGCTCGTCTGGCAATGCGAAGCAGCAGTTGTTTACCAGACGACTTCCGGTGTGGGCATTCATGAAAAACTGGTCATTCCGTAACAGGTGCGTGTCACGCCATCAGTGCATACACTGTGGTATGTAGACTATAACGGTTAGAACCCGGCTCTGACATACTGACTATTGATAGCTGTGGATAGTTTGTCAAGCGTAAAAAGGACACCGATGCTGAAAACCTATCGATCATTGGCAATTAATCGTATGTTTTGCAATACAACCGGGAAAATGATTGAAACCAAAATGGTTCCGAAAGAGCAGACATTAAAGGTATGGACTGGTCATATTTTTCTGATCCCTCCAATTGTATGTAACATTGTTTTCAAGCCCCTCCAAGTACATGCGCATGTTGGCCATGACAACCGCCTTGATTTAGAGCGACCACCTAGACTAACAACTAGTCTCTGAAATGAACATATTTTACAGAAAAAAGCTCATAGTAACAAAAATTGGATACGATGACATGTGTCAACCAAGCGAGCCTGACCACCCGATCCCGTTAGTCGCCTCTTATGGCCAGCAGGGGTTACTGAAGATAAGTTCTAACCCGGACCTTCACGATCCAAAAACGCCATGTGTGTAGTTTCTACTGTACGTCAGTATATATATATACGGTGGACCAACGTGCATCATGATTTTGTTTTGAATTCGGATTTTTCAGCTCGAGCTGTACACAGACACCAAACCAAACACTCTTCCGGGCGAGAGGAGTTTCTCCGCAGTAAGAATCAGAAGCGATAGAAATGGCGACCTCACTTCCGAAAGGAAGCTGTGGTGACGAAATATCCTGGGTCCGGAACCACAAAGCGATAATAGTGTAACTCTCTTACTTTAACATAGACGTACTACCGTTATGTGACTTTGTGGCACGAGACTCAGGGTACTTGTAACAGAATCGACAGATAATCGACAATGAGTATCCATAACGCCAACATATGGTCCGTGACAACTTCACTTCGTCACCCATGAAGATCCGGGTTAGAATTGATCTTCAGTAAACCATGCTTGTCGTAAGAGGCGACTTAGGCTGGCTGACGTAGTTAACACATGTCATCGTATCCCAATTGCGTAGATCGATGCCCATGCTGTTGATCACTGGATTGTCTGGTCCAGATTCAATTATGTACAGACCGCCGCCATATAGCTGGAATATTGCTGGGTGCGGCGTAAAACTAAACTCACTCACTCACTCGTCACTACGCATCTGTAACTACCGACAACTGGACAGTCATTCGATTCCAAAGGTCTTACGAGTGAATGGGGCTTACAAAAAGGGTTTATACGTATTAAAAGAAAGTTAATCCTTCTTTCATTAGTGACAATAATGAACAGAAATATAGAGACTTATTGATTAATTGGGGCTTTGTGTTAACAATCATTCGCTGCATTTAAAAGATCAGTCTGGCATTACTTTGCTCGTAATCAAGTAAAGAAATTAACACAATTATTGAATAACATGGGCTTTGGGTTAGCAAGCATTCATTGAGCTAAAATAAAACCAAACTGAACATTCCTTTAATATCTATAAAGTTAAGAAATGAACACAAATTACTGATTCGTCGGGGCTTTTAGCTAACAAGCGTTCATTGCATTAAATAATCACTTATCCTTCTTTTGTCAGTAATTAGGCATAAAGTATGGACGCAAAGATTGAATCCTTAAGGGTTTGGTTAAAAAGCAGTTGCTGTATTTAAAAAATCAGCTGATCTTTCTCTTGAAACTAGTCAAGTAAAGAAGTGAACACAATGATTGATTTACCAGGGCTGTGAGTTAACAAGCATTACAAGTCAGTAAATCCTTCCTTCGATGGTAATCAAGAAAAGAAATTAAGACAATTATTGATTTTAAATAGTTTTTTGTAAGGCCAGATGTGGGCCGGTTCTCTGCAATGGCAATGTAAAATTAGTAACTAATTAATTCCAGATTAGAAAAGTCTGAGTATTGTTATGATAGTAAATATTGGTCAGTCTCCGCCTCGATGCTCATGCTGTTGATCACTAGATTGTCTGGTCCAGACTGGATTATTTACAGCATTTATTCCGCCATATAGCTGGAATATTGCTGAGTGCGGCGTAAAATTATATTCACCCACTCACCCTCCAATTATTGAAAGTAATTCTTGTTATGAAACGGGTAACAATCCTTGTTTCAAAATCCAATTTGACCGATGAAGCAAACATCACTAGAATCACTGGGTTTATCTGTGATGCTATTTCCAGTTTTCTCCCCGCTGCAAACAATACCATATCTAAATGTAAGAGCAAATGCACCTAGAATTTAACCTTTTGTACTTGCAAGGCGCAACCACAAGGCGTTTTAATTTAAACTGACTTCGAGTTTCTATATTAAATCTTGTGTAAATGAATCCAGTCTTAAGAATCTCAATTACATGTACATGTAATTAATTATTGGACATGTTCAAACGGGGCGGAAGACTCAATTTTGGAATGTGAGAGAATGGTTTTACA